TGCGTTTTTCTGGATTTTTTTGTTGTTATTCTGTCTCTCACTGTTCAAATAAACCTACCATTAAAATTATAGACTGATCATTTCTTTTTCAGTGGGCAAACGTACAAAATCAGCAGGGGATCAAATACTTTTTTCCCTCACTGTATCCGCAATTCATGCAAGACTACAAATCCCTGCAAGCTCCTGCATGTCATCTCTAGCTGACACCTTTGCTAACAGGTATTGTGTCAATTTAAAACTTGCACAATTTAAAGACATTTTGCCAATTTATTCATTACTAACTTTAGCTAACATTACATAGTTCATCCTTTGCCTCGATTCGGCAGTCTTGTCCACATCATCATGGCATTTGTAGTTCTTAATGATAGCAACATTAGCAGCTAATTAGCATTTTATTTTGGGGGGTAAATACAGGTGAATTCCTTGTTTGACCGCTAGAGGAAACAGTCGGTGGTAGCCAGAATAGATTCCGACCCTACGCTTGCTTACAGCTGCCCTGGGGTCAGACAGACTTCCTGTTTAGATTAAGACACTGCGGTGCTGGCGCAAGATATTCCTCAGAAAACGTACCCCAATCCAGGGATGAGAAATTGCATTATAGTCAGAATTGTCCCATTATCCAACTATTACACCGAGAAGATTGAACGACTGATGGTTATTTAGCAGTCGTTCAATCTTGGTGTAGCAGTTGAGATAATGGGACAATTCGTAGTACAGCGCCATTTCTCATCCCTGGATTGAGGTACATTTTCCGAGCCATATATATACTGAATAAAAATATAACCGCAACAATTTCAATTTTACTGAGTTACAGTTCATAAGGAAAGTCAATTGATTAGGCCCTAATCTATGCATTTCACATGACTGGGCAGGGGCGCAGCCATGGGTGGGCCTGGGAGGGCATAGGCCCACCCACTTGGGAGCCAGGCCCACCCAACCAGAATCTGTTTTCCCCACAAAAGGGCTTTATTACAGACAGAAATACTCCATTCAATTCTCTAGCAACAGCTCTGGTGGACATTCCTGCAGTCAGCATGCCAATTGCACGCTCCCTCAAAACTTGAGACATCTGTGGCATTGTGTTGTGTGACAAAACTGCACATTTTAGAATGCCCTTTTATTGTCCCCATCACAATGTGCACCTGTGTAATGATCATGCTGATTAAACAGCTTATTGATATACCGCACCTGTCAGGTGGATGGATTATCTTGACAAAGGATAAAATGCTCACTAACATGGAAACAAATTTGTGCACAAACTATGAGAGAAATAAGCTTTTTGTGCTTATGGAAAATTCCTGGGATCTTTTATTTCAGCTCTTGAAACATTGGAACAGCACTACACATTGCGTTTATATTTTTGTTCAGTGAAGCTTCGGCTCTGTGGTCTTTTAAGATAAACAGGAAGCCTGTCCGACCCAAGTGCAGCTGTAAGCAAGAGTAGGATTTGAATATATTCTTGCTGAGTCAGTGGTTGTGTTTGATTAAGGTTTTATTAAAAACTATCGATTTCAGCAAAAAAAGAAATGCACACAACAACAGAGGACAAACATAGGTACATGGTAAGGGTTTAAGAATTTACATTTTTGAAGTATCAATTTATAGAGTCAGAGGTTCATTTAAAAAAACTCTAGTAGCCTATGCCTCAACTCCGTGGAGGAGTTGAGGTACTTGGCAACAGTGAACAGCCTTTTATATCCCTAGAAAATTAGATGGGGCGTTACGATTTATGTATTCGAATAAGGAATATAAAGTTATTGATGGACAGATCATACCAGAGTTAGCTGCTGGCAATAAGCAACTGGACTAAATTGTATTGACCACACCCTATTGAAACAGCGTAAAAACACTAATCACCATTATCCTTCTGTGTTGCAAAGAGAAGGCAATAATAGGCTATTGAAAAAAAATAAAAAAACGTTGCGTTAAAAATCATTTTAAGAGGACGACGACTCACAAGCTAAAGAGAACATCGGATTATGTCCCAGGAGTTCTTTCAAGTGAGAGGTATATAATTCAGTACCATCGCATCGGTAAAGTTGAAGAAACCATCAACTGAATTCAACAGGCTTTTTGCGAATCTAAAATTGAAAATAACTGGAGCGAACCATATGGAAGATTAGCCTATCAAACAATTGTCTCTAGGTTCGTCTTGAAAGAAAGTGGTACTTACAAACTGAGTTATATATTTCAGAGTATGCAGTCATCCATCAAAGTCAAGAAGACATCGGTGATTTGTGATGATTAGATCTGGCCCATTGAGGTCTCGTGTCTTCAACTAGCCTGCAGCGCTGGAGTACCGCCCATGCTGTCCGCGAGGAAGTCGCCAAATTGTGTGCACCAGTTGACTCACTGGGAATTTGCTTTAGATAAAGATCAACTGTAAAATGAACCACAAACAATTTACCCCAAACAATAATTTAACAATTTAGGCCTACGTTATCAGAGTCAAAGATGATACAACATTGTAAAGTTTACGGGCCCCTGGGAGTCTGAGGCCCCTAGCTATTGCTTCTTCTATTTATGAATTTTCTGGTCAAATTCCCAAATTTTATGTCCATAGATAATCAGGTGCTTGACTCGGACTGAAATAGGTTGGTACTCAATTTGGGTGCTGGTACTGCTTATATATAGGTGCAGGAGCTACACAATACTTTTGAGCTAATATTCTATAAGAGGAAGATGGGCTTAAGCAGTGGAAAAGTTGAGGTGCCGGTACTCGGCTCCAGTGAGCTCCTGCCCAAGTCAAACACTGTAGCTAACACATCTGTGCTGGGGAACTTGGAGAATTGATGGCCAGCAATGCTCTCTAGTGGTAGCTTTTTTGTATGGATCTTAAATGATATTGGCTGACAATTTGACAAATCTATGCATTATACAAGTTGACCACAACATTTCCAGGATGATTTTATTCAGAAAATAGAAGACATGTATTTGACATTTAAATGTTAGCAATTTGGCATAGTTATCCAAAGAGACTAACAGGCAGGTAAACTAAGTCCAAATAAACAACCACACATCGGTCATTGCAATCAGCTAAAAACTCATCAGTGCTGGAAAGAGATGGAGATATTTTCACCATAGGCAGACTCAAAGACGGATGGTAAAGGCCTACAGTAGGAAGAAACGTAGTAGGAAGTAGAAGTGATCCAGGCTCTGTCATAGCCGGCCGCGACCGGGAGACCCATGTGGCGGCGCACAATTGGCCCAGCGTCGTCCAGGGTAGGGGAGGGAATGGCTGGCAGGGAAGTAGCTCGGTTGGTAGAGCATGGCGTTTGCAACGCCAGGGTTGTGGATTCGATTCACACGGGGGGCAAGTATAAAAAAATAATGTATGCACTAACTGTAAGTCGCTCTGGATAAGAGCGTCTGCTAAATGACTAAAATGTAAAATGTAAGTGGTAGGAAGTAGGATTTGGCAACGACGTCATTGGAATAGTCACTCCCAGACTCTTCAATAACCTTGGCGTTTGAACCATTGAGATCTGGCAACGAAGTCATTGGAATAGTCACCCCCCAGACTCTTCAATAACCTTGGCGTTTGAACCATTGAGATCTGGCAACGAAGTCATTGGAATAGTCACCCCCCAGACTCTTCAATAACCCTGGCTTTTGAACCATTGAGATCTGGCAACGACGTCATTGGAATAGTCACCCCCCAGACTCTTCAATAACATTGGCTTTTGAACCATTGCGATGTGGCAACTACTCCATTGGAATAGTCACACCCCCAGTGGTGCCCATGTCTATTCTCTAATAGGTGCGGACATTTTTGTCCCTGGCATTGTTGGGCGAAATTCCCCCTGAAAAGACAGACAATAGGTTTTTGCCATGGTATCCACAAATTTGCATAAATAACAAACATGCAACTCGTCACTTCTATCAAACTACAGAGTAAAGTGGTGGGTGAGACAATGGGTACCTTTCAGCTGGTGCTCCTTGGGCCATGCTGGGAATTTCGCCTGGATCCCACGGAAAGAAAATATATATAAATCAATCACACCACTTTTTAATGCTTTCCTAAAATACCATTCAAGCCACTGATTATAGCATCACTGCTATTTAAAATCATGAAATGTTATTTTTCTAGCTCCCTGGAGCAATTGTCAAATGCAATGTAATATGAATGAATAGCCTATACATCTATCGAAAAGAGGAATAGGAAGATGCTATTAAAACTTGTCAGATTTCAACAAAAATCCCCTTGGTAATTTCTGCTTCTTCATCCTCACACAATCAACAACACATGCACACAAATCTCAGTGCCAACCAACCTGCATGAGCCCAAAGCCGTTCCCAAGGTCTTCCCAGCCATGGTCCAAATGAATGGAAGTAAATGGTAGTGGAAACGCCTTTAGCGTAAATATTGATACACTAACCATCATATCGAAGTTAAATTTGGAGTCACACGATGATATGGTGTGTGTATCAATAGCCTATCAAGGGTCTTATTCTGGTGACATGATGATCGATGCTTGACTGCCGTTTGACAAATAAAAATATTATCGCTCTTATCCATAATAATCTCATCATGTAGATAGCCAACCCGCACAGCCGACCCGCAGTGCATCTGCGAGCTGTTGGCACATGTGCTATTTAACAACAGCTTTTGTGACAAAACTATCTGTAGAGTTGAAAATGCGATGGAAACACATTGTACTTTAGATTTTTATTCCGTACATGAAAATTTAAGCAAAAAAGTACATTGTGTGTATTACGTCATCACGCACTGCTTTTTATCTGCAACAAGTCCATTTGGTGAAAACATACCACTGGTGGGAAAATTCACATTTTCTTTATGCGGATTCTTGAATATTCGCATAAAAATCCGTCGCCAATTGGATAGAAAGGTAGCTACTCACTGATTTTATTTGTATATAATAATTTTGTGCATATTGAAAATGACAAGTTTACCAGTCAACTGCATAAATAAAGGCGGGGCGTCTAAGTTTCAGAGCATGACGTTGCCTTTCCAACGACCAATGGAAACAGAGAGAGGGGAGGTCCTTTCAGCCAGGAAGGTATTTCAGCAGACACAATGCGATCGATATTTTGACACAGTGAATAATTGTCGCGTGTGTATATGCCCATGCAATACCATTATAGAACACGTACGAGCTACATTAGCTCACCATCTTCTTAGCAACTGTGTTGCCGCACGATGTCCCTGTCTGTCCAGAAATCATTTTGGTTCCTGATTCTGTGTATTTTCTCTCATGACGTTGTTGCAAGAAGAGGTAACTAACTTTTCGAAAACCTTTATAATAACCCAACATCAACAAGAAGCGATTTTTGAAAGGCATCTATGTGAAAACGTATAATTGCTCAGTAACATTGTTGCAATTTAGTTATGTTGCTCAATGTCTGTCGTTTGTTCAAAGCTTGCTACGTAGCTGATTTTAAGGCGGGGCAACTATGGCTGCGTTTACACAGGCAGCCAAATTCTGATATTTTGCAAGATTATTGGCAAAATACCTGATCTGATTGGTCAAAAGACCAATTAGTAGAAAATGATTCAGAATTGGGCTGCCTGTGTAAACGCAGCCATTGTAACCTTGACTAATTTGTTTTTCTTTAGTTAGGCGCAATGTTCTCTTCATCATGGCTGATGATTTGAGACCAACATTAGGATGCTACGGGGATCCTGTTGTAAAGTCACCAAACATTGATCAACTTGCCTCTAAAAGTAATGTATTTCACAACGCATATGCCCAGGTACGCCTATAACAGATAAAGATAAGTGATTTAACGCTGTAGCCCAAGCCTACTTTAGTTGGCAATCCGTTCTCTACCAATGATTGTAACTATATAAATTCATCTCCCATTTGTCTTGATCTTTCTGTCATTCAATTTGTAGCAAGCAGTGTGTGGACCAAGTCGGACCTCCTTACTAACAAGTCGTAGACCTGACACAACCCGGTTATATGACTTTAATTCCTACTGGCGAGTACATGCGGGAAACTACACCACTCTCCCTCAGTACTTCAAGTCAAAGGGCTACACCACCATGTCGGTTGGAAAGGTTTTTCACCCAGGTTAAAGGAATCCTAGCCATTTGTCAGCATGTTGACATTTATTGGGATGAGTCTTTTCCTGGATGCTGAGCGGTTTCCACTAGATGGGCCAGCCGCAATGTCAAAATTGGCTATATAGTAAACAAAATACATAACACATTTTTGTTTTGGTCTTAATTGAAGGTTAGGCATAAGGTTAGCATTGTGGTTAGGTTTCCAATCTGATGACTTTGTGGCTAGGCCAACTGGTGATCACACAGCAGAGCTGCCTCCAGGACAAGATTCATCCCAATAAATGCCAACCTGCCGTTTGTCTTAACCCTACTTAATATGTTAGTGCTTGGTGTATTCTTATCAGTCTACATTGAAAAATGAGTAACAATTATCGTGTTTTCCTCAGTGTCCACTGTGTTCAATGTTTTAAAATGCCTTACTGCTTAATTTGTGCAGTATCTCGTCATGTGACGTGAGTCTATCAAATTGCCAGAGGCTGTTTCTCATGTCTTCTTAATCCTCCTTAGTCTGTTGTGCTAATATCACTGTTATGTGCTTGTGTTGAAGGCATAGCCTCTAATCACTCGGATGATTACCCGTACAGCTGGTCTGTACCTCCTTATCATCCTCCCTCTTTCAAGTATGAAAATATGAAGGTCAGTGTTTGCCTTGACTGCTGCCATAACTCTCTAGTCTACAGATGCTTTAGCCATGTATGGCTTAAATGTTGTCGGTATACTGAATTAATTCCATTCAGTATACAGACATTAATTTTAGGATATAAATGGCTACAGATGCTTATGGCTGTTGTCTGATTTGAGCCCTCTGTGTATTATGTCAAATCTAACTGCCTAATATAAGATGTTTCTCATGCATTTGAACAAATTCCAAAAGGTTAAATGTTTAGCATGAGAGAAATGTATTGCTTTGTTTAGGTTTGCAAGGGCAGTGATGGCAAACTGCATGCCAACCTGCTGTGCTCTGTGAATGTGTCCGAAACCCCTCTGGGGACACTGCCTGACATGGAGAGCACAGAGGAAGCCATCAGGCTGCTCAAGTCCACCAGAGATTCTGACAAACATTTCTTTCTGGCTGTTGGATTCCACAAACCTCACATTCCCTTCAGAATCCCACAGGTACTGCAGCTGCCTGGCTTACTTCATAACACCAGGAGTGGTTAAACCAGGGTTTCCCAAACTCTGTCCTCAGGTCCCAAGGGGTGCACATTTTGGTTTTTGCCCTAGCACTACACAGCTGACTCAAATAATCAAGCTTTGATCATTTGAATCAGCTGTTTTATTTATTTTTATTTCACCTTTATTTAACCAGGTAAGCCAGTTGAGAACAAGTTCTCATTTACAACTGCGACCTGGCCAAGATAAAGCAAAGCAGTGCGGTAAAAACAACAACAACTGTGTAGTGTTAGGGCAAAAAACATAACGTTCACTCCTTGGGGTCCCGAGGACCGAGTTTGGGAAATGCTGGGTTAAACCATGACATAGATTAGCAATACTTACTGTTCTCTCAATAGAATGTAGATGGTATGATTTGTAACATACTGATGAAACTGCCTTTGCACTTGGAAAATGTAATTTAATTCCTAAATTGCCTAACTCTTTGTGTGTATTAGGAGTTCTTGACACTCTATCCCCTGGATAAGATTACCCTGGCTCCAGATCCTGATGTTCCTAAAGGCCTCCCCAGCGTGGCCTACAATCCCTGGACTGACATCAGGAAAAGGGAAGATGTCCAAGCGCTAAACATCAGCTTCCCATATGGGCCAATCCCAAAGGATTTCCAGGTTGGTTAGGTGTAGTTTCCTGATTTTGTAGGAGCAAGGTATCTTTTCTATATGGTTTTCAATGTGGCTCTAGATGGTTGAAGCACAACTGGAAGCAAAGAAATCCACCAATCTGTTACACGATAGCTGCACGTTAGAGAGTGTCACTTGGGGGAAAAAGGCCCCTATGGCAGGTCAAATCAAATAGAGGCGATATGATGCAGACAAATGGTGAACTATTTAAACGCTTTTACAAAAATCTATACAGGTAGAAGCAGCATATTATACTTCAGCAGGTTGCATATTATTCATGACTATAGTATAAATGTTTGATTCAGCTCCAGATTCGACAGCACTATTATGCGTCTGTGTCATACATGGACTCCCAAGTGGGCCGGTTGTTGAATGCTCTGGATGATCTGGGACTGGCTGAAGACACTGTTGTGGTCTTTACATCTGACCATGGTAAGTAAACTCTTAGTTCTGTTTCAATACATTATGTACTGTAGAAAGAAATCTGCTGCATACATCACTGCTGTCTAGCCTATAATGGTTTGTCAGTGGCATTGACTTTTCAACAGGTAAATTGCTTTTGTAGTTCTTTGTCCACTAGATGGGGATGTGACATCAAAATTCTGCCTTTACTCTCCTGAAGCCTCAAGCTTGGATCCATTCAAAGCATATGTCGACTTTACTATGAACTGTTTCTTTATGCATGTTGCATAGCGATAATTAAATGTTTATAGTCTCATTGTTTAAATACATTGGCGTTTAGGTATGTATTTGTAATATGATTCATTTCTCTTACAGGATGGTCACTAGGGGAGCATGGGGAATGGGCCAAATACAGCAACTTTGACGTGGCCACTCGCGTTCCCCTAATGTTCTACGTAGCGGGTATGACTGCAGTCCGTCCTTGGCCAGAGGACGAGACCTTTCCCTACATGGATGTGTTTGGCCCAACACAGCATCACTTCACACAAGGTATACTATACACTCCTATAGTCAATAACTAGTTTTCATTCCTCGTGCACTTTTGTTTCATTGATCTGGCAAGACGTGATGATGATAGCAGTATGGTGGAAACTATCCAGTTATTTTTTTCTCTATCAGTGGTAGTGAAGGAGGATGCCATTAGGAAGATTCAATTGCATACTCCTCTCCCCTTGTCTCCTTCTCAAAACCCATTGGCGGAGAAGGTCAGAGGGGAGAGACCTCTGGCTTTCTCATCCAATGGGTTTTTAAGAAGGAGAGGATGTGAGGAGTAATGAATTGAGATCTTCCCATTCAGTAAATGGGCTGCGTTTAGACGGGCATTTCAATTCTGATATTTTTCTCACTAATTGGTATTTTGACCTATCAGATCAGCTCTGGAAAAAGAGCTGATGTGAAAAGACCTATTGTGATTGGTCAGAAGACCTAGTAGTGAAAACAATATCAGAATTGGGCTGGCTGTGTACAGTGGGGAGAACAAGTATTTGATACACTGCTGATTTTGCAGGTTTTCCTACTTACAAAGCATGAAGAGGTCTGTAATTTTTATCACAGGTACACTTCAACTGTGAGAGACGGAATCTAAAACAAAAATCCAGAAAATCACATTGTATGATTTTTAAGTAATTAATTAGCATTTTATTGCATGACATAAGTATTTGATACATCAGAAAAGCAGGACTTAATATTTGGTACAGAAACCTTTGTTTGCAATTACAGAGATCATACGTTTCCTGTAGGTCTTGACCAGGTTTGCACACACTGCAGCAGGGATTTTGGCCCACTCCTCCATACAGACCTTCTCCAGATCCTTCAGGTTTCTGGGCTGTCGCTGGGCAATATGGACTTTCAGCTCCCTCCAAAGATTTTCTATTGAGTTCAGGTCTGGAGACTGGCTAGGCCACTCCAGGATGTTGAGATGCTTATTACGGAGCCACTCCTTAGTTGCCCTGGCTGTGTGTTTCGGGTCGTTGTCATGCTGGAAGACCCAGCCACGACCCATCTTCAATGCTCTTACTGAGGGAAGGAGGTTGTTGGCCAAGATCTCGCGATACATGGCCCCATCCATCCTCCCCTCAATACGGTGCAGTCGTCCTGTCCCCTTTGCAGAAAAGCATCCCCAAAGAATGATGTTTCCACCTCCATGCTTCACGGTTGGGATGGTGTTCTTGGGGTTGTACTCATCCTTCTTCTTCCTCCAAACACGGCGAGTGGAGTTTAGAACAAAAAGCTCTATTTTTGTCTCAGACCACATGACCTTCTCCCATTCCTCCTCTGGATCATCCAGATGGCATCATTGGCAAACTTCAGACGGGCCTGGACATGCGCTGACTTGAGCAGGGGGGCGTTGCGTGCGCTGCAGTATTTTAATCCATGACGGCGTAGTGTGCTACTAATGGTTTTCTTTGAGACTGTGGTCCCAGCTCTCTTCAGGTAATTGACCAGGTCCTGCCGTGTAGTTCTGGGCTGATCCCTCACCTTCCTCATGATCATTGATGCCCCACGAGGTGAGATCTTGCATGGAGCCCCAGACCGAGGGTGATTGACCGTCATCTTGAACTTCTTCCATTTTCTAATAATTGCGCCAACAGTTGTTGCCTTCTCACCAAGCTGCTTGCCTATTGTCCTGTAGCCCATCCCAGCCTTGTGCAGGTCTACAATTGTATCCCTGATGTCCTTACACAGCTCTCTGGTCTTGGCCATTGTGGAGAGGTTGGAGTCTGTTTGATTGAGTGTGTGGACAGTTATCTTTTATACAGGTAACGAGTTCAAACAGGTGCAGTTAATACAGGTAATGAGTGGAGAACAGGAGGGCTTCTTAAAGAAAAACTAACAGGTCTGTGAGAGCCGGAATTCTTACTGGTTGGTAGGTGATCAAATACTTATGTCATGCAATAAAATGCAAATTAATTACTTAAAAATCATACAATGTGATTTTCTGGATTTTTGTTTTAGATTCCGTCTCTCACAGTTGAAGCGTACCTATGATAAAAATTACAGACCTCTACATGCTTTGTAAGTAGGAAAACCTGCAAAATCGGCAGTGTATCAAATACTTGTTCTCCCCACTGTAAATGCAACCTTTGAGACACACTTCTATTCTTCTGTCTCTAAAAGTCATTCTTCCCCAGGACAGATTATTGGGAGAAGTTTGTGCTCCACTATCGCTGCATTTACACAATTCTGATCTTTTTCAGAGCTGATCTCATTGGTCAAAATGGCAATTGGTGAAAAACATCAGCATTAGGCTGCCTGTCTAAAAGCAGCCTATGTAACATTGTTATTCCCCATTTATAATGTAGTAGACTATCGGTTGTGGGGCTGTGACTCACTCTACCTCTCTTCTCCACAGGAGGAACGGAGAGCAATGTGAACGAGCTGCTAGATGTCTTCCCCACCGTGTCTGTCCTGGCTGGGCTGAAGCCCCCACTCCCCTGTCCCGACAACTCCTTCAACGTGGAGCTCTGCACAGAGGGACAGAACCTGGCCTACACCTTCAACCACAACAACAGCAGGAACTCTGAGGCCATTGCCTGCAGCCAGTACCCCCGGCCCGCAGACACCCCCCAGGAGAACTCTGACCTGCCCGACCTGAAGGACATCCGGATAATGGGCTATTCTCTGCGCTCCTGGGACTATCGCTTCACCCTGTGGGTGGGCTTCGACCCTGCTAGCTTCCAGGCTAACCTGTCAGACGTGCACGGTGGGGAGCTGTACCTCCTGGAGGAAGACCCAGGCCAGGACCACAACCTGTATAACAGCTCTGAGCACAGCCTGCTCCTCCGCAAGCTGAGCCAGAGCCATCAGCAGCCCTGGGCCCAGACCCTCAAACAACACCTCCTATACCTCACTGCAGGGACCAAATCTAAAGGGATGGCATGATGCTTTGTTTGGGTAATGAACTATTTATAAGGGAAGGTCTTCATTTTTGCTGTATTCATAAGGGATGTTTCCATTGTAGGAAAGTACCTGGAACTAGATTATGATTCACATTTTCTTTAGGTAGTTTGTAGTTAGGATATTATGTACTGTAGGTTAACCAATCTACAATACAGGGATTTAAGGTGCAAGCATTATCTTAGCATTTCTGAATGTTGGTGGTAACATTCAATGGCAAGGATTTGACTCGAGCTCTAAATTGAACATAAAATGAGCTCCATGGAAACCACCAAGATCACTCCCTTTGATCCCTGTTCACTGGTTATTAGTATGCTAGGTTTGAGACGAGTAGATTTATTTTGCAAGCATAAAGTATGATTTCCTAAGGGACTGTAACAAACTGCAATGGTGAAATGCATTATATAGCCTATTCTTTCACCTAGGGAAAAGATGACAAATCACTTGGATTTGTTGGTCATTAGGGCCAACATGGGGAGGTCTTGGTGAACATGCTGTACTGTAAAACGATCCACTTTCATGCTTTGCACATAGATGTTATTTATTGACACTGTATAGATATTTTTTTGAAATATGTTGTACAAGTATATGCATTTCAAAATGTATCCAATCCAAATAAGCTTGTCTCTTTTTTTTGTCTGGAATATATTCTTGTTAATGTACAGCAGGGGTGGATCCTTGGGGACCACAATGTATTCAGCGCCAGCAGACAGGCTTCATTGCCAGCTGGGCTGGAAAATTCCACTGTCTTGTTTTTTTTGCAGTCTGAAAGCGAGGTCAGTCCAGTTGGAGATGGATCCATGGGCTGATTGAAGCTGATATTTTAATTGCTTGCGCCAAAGGGGAATTGCATTTGTGCTCAAACTTTATCTGTGATTTTTAATTCTGTTTCAACTCCTGTTTCCAAGTTCTGCTAGAAAATGTTCCCCATTTAGTTTTCTTCCTCAGTGTCTTTCAGCTCCCAGACAGTGTGTTATAAGGAGAGAATGTGCATCTCCTCAGACGTAATGTTGGCCCAAAGTAATTTCTTACTACTCAAATAGTCCTTTTTACAAATACGTTGATTGTTCACTACTTATTTAGTAAGCGTGGGTCTACTGAAGTTGTTTCATTTAATTCCTTTTAGATGAAACCTCAAATGTAGTGCATACACTAAAATGGGTTAAGTTTACTATGTTAAGCACTGACACTCAACCTTGAGTTGTACCACCGTCATGATGTAATAGGGCAGAGCTTTATTCACTCACACAGGAATGTAATTGCCCTTAAGTAGACAAATATTAACTGAAAGATAATAATAATGTGACCTAATGCTGATGGATGACGTGCATTAACCATGCAAACCTTTTAATATGATTACAAACAAGGGATCAATGTGGACGTGGTCAGGGATCACGGCTTAAGATAATTATTGATCTGACACAACCACCATGTGATATCAGTGTGTGTGTGTTGTAAAGAATACCCATCTCATCCCAGGGTTGGTTTTGAAAGTCACATGCAGATTGGTTGGTTGTGTTTAGGAATCAAGCCCCATTTGTTAGAGGATTTAACAAATCCATATCAAATTAGTGTCACTTTATTGTCTTGTTGATTCAGATGCACCTTCTTAGGGTAACAGGTAATGGCAATTTATTCATGGGAAACATGCTCGAAAACGATCATCAATAATTAATGAATTGAGAGAATGTTGCTGAAAGACAAATCTTTGTTTTGGAAACTCCACTCCCAAGTTGGAGCAGCAGGACCTGCTGGAGGATGGAGAGTAAAGATGAGTTATTATCTGCCTATTGTCGGTCCCATGAAAGCCAGCTGGACTGTGTTAGGAACTAGTCTGACAACTATTACACTGGCAATCAGAGAGACTTGGAGATCATGAGCAAGCTCTCTCTCATAATGAAGTGGAAATTCTTTTGAACGTTGTCTGTCTGGTATGGAGATTGGTTATGGCTCACAGCAACTATTCATAACAACTGGTCTACATCAGCAATTCAATATGAACTCAGATTTACAAAAATGCCCAATGTTATGTTCTATGTTTAATCATTGATTTAGTTGATGTTTTTTGTCTGCCCTTGCCTGCATAATATGGTAATTAGAAACTATATTATTTCTCAAACTCAAGACTGCATTATACATACAGTATTTCATTGCATGGAATGCACTATGTCTCGAGGGCAAACGTGCCTGGTCATTGTAGCTTGGCTGAGAGGAGCAGCTGGTACACAGTGTTTAGTTCCAGAGGGTGTTGTGCTGTAGGACATGGCTGGTAGACAGTGTTTAGTTCCAGAGGGTGTTGTACTGTAGGACATGGCTGGTAGACAGTGTTTAGTTCCAGAGGGTGTTGTACTGTAGGACATGGCTGGTACACAGTGTTTAGTTCCAGAGGGTGTTGTACTGTAGGACATGGCTGGTACACAGTGTTTAGTTCCAGAGGGTGTTGTACTGTAGGACATGGCTGGTAGACAGCGGCGCTTCAGTGAATGGTGTGGCAGATATTACAGCCCAGGATCTGATGCCCTTCATCTGGCCTAGTGAGGGAGAGTGCCAGCCAGGCCAGCAGAGAGACTATGCCCCCCTCCTCCCCCCCCTGTTCCATCACCCCCTATCTCCTGGCACAGTGGAGCTGAGATGTTGCCCACATCCAGAGCAGAGGTCTGTCTCAGTAGTGAACATGTAGACAGCTGTGTTTAACAGAGCTTTCTGGGATAGGAGACAAGTGGTCAGTACTATGCTCTCAGCATACAGTAGCAATAAGGGGAGATTTCAGTGTTAAATGGATGGCTTCCAAAACCCCTTGTACAATGCTTTTGTTTGTAAGATTATATATATACTGAACAAAAATATAAACGCAACATGCAACAATTTCAAAGGTTTTACTGAGTTACAGTTCATATAAGGAAATTAGTCAATTGAAATAAATTCATTAGGCCCTTTTCAATGGATTTCACATGACTGGGCAGGGGCGCAGCCATGGGTGGGCCTGGGAGGGCATAGGCCCTTGGGAGCCAGGCCCAGACAATCAGAATGTTTTTTTCCCCCACCAAAGGGCTTTATTACAGACCGAGGTCCAGGGCTGGCGTGGTTATACCTTGGTCTGCAGTTGTGAGGCCAAATTCTCTAAAACAATATTGGAGGCGGCTTATGGTAGAGAAATCAACATTCAATTATCTGGCAACAGCTCTGGTGGACATTCCTGCAGTCAGAATGCCAATTGCATGCTCCCTCAAAACTTGAGACACCTGTGGCATTGTGTAGTGTGACAAGACTGCACATTTTAGAGTGGCATTTTATTGTCCCCAGCACAAGGTGCACCTGTGTAAAGATCACGCTGTTTAATCAGCTTCTTGACATGCCACACCTGTCAGGTGGATGGATTATCTTCGCAAAGGAGAAATGCTAATTACCAGTGATGTATACAAATTTGTGCACAACATTTTTGAGAAATAAGCTTTTTGTGCTTATGGAAAACTTCTGGGATCTTTTATTTCAGCTCATGAAACATGGGACCAACACTTGCGTTTATATTTTTGTTAATTGTAGTTTCAAATGGATATGATATGACTGTATCACAGGAGGTTGGTGGCGCCTTAATTGGGGAGGATGGGCTCGTGGTAATGGCTGGAGCGGAATTAGTGGAATGGTATCAAATACATCAAACACATGGTTTGATGCCATTCCATTTGCTTCATTCCAGCCATTATTATGAGCCGTCCTCCCCTCAGCAGCTTCCACTGGACTATATGTATGCCAAGAAACCTCCACTTACACTATTGTACTTGTCAGTCCTTTAACTAGACCTACTATCGGTGACTCTGTTTACCCGACTGTTTGTGTATTTAATGAGAATAACTTCAAAGATGCATAATTCATCATTTTTTACCTCCTTTTCTACTGACAGCTGCCATATGTTTAATTTCTGTCATAATCATCTCCATGGAGATGCATTACAGAGTAAAACAGATCCAGAGTTGACGCTCCATGTGAAAACATTCCATATCAGACAATGAAGTCAAGTTACTGATAAAACCCACTAAGATTTTTATACAAACATAATATTGCTGTCTGAAATTGTTATTCAAATGTTTATGACAATATCAATTAATATGCAAATGTCTTTTTTTGTGGTAAATAGGTTTTACGCATAAAGATGACCCAATTTCCAAAACCTGTCGATCTACTTAAATTATTCCATTAATTCTATAGTTTCTACTAGGGTGCTATGTGAGAGTATCTCACTGGACCTTAGGGACACTGGGAGGAGAAGGACTTGAGGTGTAAGATCATTACCCCAAGGTTCAGTCCCTCCTCTCCTCCCTCTATCCTCAGCATGGTGATGTGGGGGTCTGTGCCCTTCAGACTGCCATCTGCTGTGATGTGCTGTTATCTCCGATGGTACAGGGCCATCTGTTCACACTTTACCAAGTCAGAGAAGGAGGTGCTGGTAATGGTGCAGGCAGGGTGCTAAAACAGGAATCAGAGAAGGTGGTGTTGGTGGTGGTGCAGGCAGGGTGCTAAAACAGGAATCAGAGAAGGTGGTGTTGGTGGTGGTGCAGGCGGTGCTAAAACAGGAATCAGAGAAGGAGGTGCTGGTAATGGTGCAGGCAGGGTGCTAAAACAGGAATCATAGAAGGTGGTGCTGGTAATGGTGCAGGCAGGGTGCTAAAACAGGAATCAGAGAAGGTGGTGTTGGTGGTGGTGCAGGCAGGGTGCTAAAACAGGAATCAGAGAAGGTGGTGCTGGTGGTGGTGCAGGCGGTGCTAAAACAGGAATCAGAGAAGGTGGTGTTGGTGGTGGTGCAGGCGGTGCTAAAACAGGAATCATAACGACATGAGTTAGAATGAGGACACTACTTCTGAAAAAACACTGGCTAATCATAATAATCATAATAATACTCATAATAATAATAATAATAATAATATGAGGCTGTGGAATTAGAGGGAGATGCATCCCAGGGGCATTGCTAGATTCCTTAAATCACTCCAGCACATTAAGTGTAAAGAAATAGTTGTATATCACACTGCTGCTTTAAAGGACAGCTAGCCGCTTCTGTCTTAAACATACAATTAAAAGAGCTTTTGTGGTGGTGGAACTGTGAAAATTACAGCACAGCATTACAGCACATAGCCATGATGTAATTGGTGGAAATGCATCATTTATTTTTGCAGCAGCAGCTCAATCATCAAGGGAAGACTATCCAATATATTATTGAAAGAATGAAAGTATGGCTACAAAATATGATTTATACAATACACAGTTATTGTTGAGAAAAATAACATCCTAATGGGAGTAGTGAAATGTTTATATCAATTTGCAGCCTGTGATAAATGTCTTCGCCTAAATCTAAGCTGAGGAGACTGATTCCCTCTCATTAATTTGGTACAAACTCATTTGCATTATTCAGCCAAACATAAATACGTATTTTCTAATTGAAGAAGAACATGTTTCCATCACACTGCATGGTTTGGTGTTACTCGTCTGTACAGTATATAGTCACATTGTGACATATGAGATGCTTCATTTTTCCCTGTCAGGTAGATGAGATAACACAGTCATGAATGATGGGAGATTTCATCTTCAATAAACAGGGATCGAGAGTGAAAGGTTGATTGT